GTTTGGGTGGATGGATGTTTTGGTTTTTTTTTGTTGTGAAGGCCTCACGACCTATGATTTTACCTGTGAGACTGTGTGTTACTGATGACTGAGTTGGTAAACGATGTACAAATGAAACCGAACAGTTTGCTGGGCCTGTTTGGCACAACAAGGCTCAAGTATATTGAAAGCAAACTGTCACTTTTTTACACATGTTCTGATAAAGGATTTGAAGGCAGTACTTGAGAAGGCTTTTTTTGTTTCAGTAAGCAGTTTTCATAGCAAAGGTGAACTTAAAGGAACAGCAAAATGTTTTTTGGACACTAAAAGGATAGTTATACTGGGTTAGACTTTGTATCTGTCTAGCCTAGTATCTTGTTTCAGTAGTGGACAATACTTTATGCAGGAAAAAAAGCATGAAAAGAGTAGCCTGCAACAGGAAGATGCTGCTCTTTGGTGGAGAGCATACGTATTTATAGTGTATTTAATCCAATTAAGCTTTTGAATATCTTTTTGCAGAGACTCAGAATGACGAAGAAAAGGAAACACCAAGAAGATTTCCAGAAAGTGAAATTGAAAGTTGGGAAAAAAAAGCCTAAGCTAGAAAATGCAACCGATACCACTTTCAAAACCAAGACCATACAAATTCCTGAACAACTTAAAGAAGATGGAATGCTTTCTACACAAAATAGAAAGCTTAACATAAAGGTACTCATTGACAATATTTTCTGAAATAGAAAACAATGACATTTTATTTACCTGGGTTTACTGTGTTGGTATATTTCAGCAAAAAAAAAAAAAAGAAAATTTTTGTAAAAAGCAGTGGAGTATTTGAGTATGGCCCTTCTGTCCTAGACAGTAAGCTGACTAATGGATTCAGGGACTTAGATTCTATGCTGGTCAAGAATCTTAAGGCAAAGGAAAAACTGAAAGTTATGCACTGTGTTCAGCGTGCAGGCTTAACATTGCATTTTATCATGGATTATATCTTTAGAACAGGGTTTTAAAAAAGACCCCCTGAAATGGTCTGTGGTCTTTTTACATGTCTGTGGGGTATTCGTCCCTTTACTGTTGCTGCTTTTATCTTTTATATCTTGCAACTTTCTGCTTGAGTTAGAGAATTGATGAGGCTGAGGTTTCATAATTCCACTTTCGAGAACTGAGAGATTGCTTTTTTCCTGCTTCTGTTAAGTTGATAGGGTAATAAGAGTTGAAGAATAAGGGGTATCTAATTATCTGAAGGGCAAGCCACAGTATTTCATTCTTTCTGTGATTAAATTTTGATAGTTTGTTTATCATTATGCTTTAAATAAATATTAGGTTTGTTCTGAGCTTATTACACTGCTACAAACCACACCATCATTAACAGGGACTCTGTATTTTGCGCTGAAGTGCTAGAAAAGAGATGTAGAAGTTGGAGCATTTGAAGTAATAATGATAGCAAATATATGCATGTATTTTTTTCCTTATAGGATCTGCTTTCACAGATGCACCATTACAGTGCTGGGGTTAAGCAAAACGCTCTTCTTGGGCTCAAAGATTCTCTGTCTCAGTATCCACTTGTAGTTGATGCACACCTTTCAAGTATAATAAGTGAAGTTGCAGCAGTGTTTACAGACAAAGACTCTGGTGTTAGAGGAGCAGCCGTTCACCTGCTTCAGTTTTTGGCTTCAAGAATAAGATCTGAACAAATGGCTCCGTTTTTCCCTTTGGTAAGTGCCCACCTCTCCAGTGCCATGACTCATATCAGTGAGGGAATTCAGGAAGATTCATTGAAAGTCTTGGATGTTTTGTTGGAACACTACCCAGCTCTTCTTACTGACCGCAGTAGTATCTTGTTGAAGAATTTTGTAGAGCTTATTTCTCACCAGCAGCTGTCAAAAAGAATGAAAAGTAGAGATAAACTCTCCTGGATGCTGTCTGTTAACCCGAATCGCAGAGTAACTTCTCAGCAGTGGAGGCTGAACGTTCTTACGAGGCTCAAGAAGTTTCTCCAAGCAGTAGTAGATGCATCCAGTGATTTAGAGGATGAAGGGCTTCAAGAACCAAAGGACAGCCCTCACTCTGCGAGAAATGCAGTATGTATAAGCTGGAAGGCCCACGCAAATAATCAGCAACACGTCCAACTCTATGGAGATGGTGGCTTACGACCAAAGATCAACTCATCGTTTAGACTGAGGTGAGACAGATTTATCTGGGTATCAACTGTGTGTTTACAATTAATGTTAAACTGTGGTTTGTTGCTGCTGATGATGGGGATTTCATTTTCGTCTTGGGATTCTTGGCATCTTACTGGATGGGAGTTCTGCTGAATTGCCATTTCTAGATATTTTTAATCTATTCATGAATTTTTATTTTCAAAATGGATAAAAGATCTCTTTTGCAAAATATTGATGGATGTGAGGGATAAAAACATCGCCCTAAAGAAACTACAGAATAAGCTTGTGTGCTTAGTCTTGGTTTTTTTTGTTTGTTTAAGTAATAATTCAATAGTTGAGTTGAAATTTCAGGGAAAATAACTAAACATTTTTGTTTCTCCTTGAACTGGAGGGGGGAACACTGAATTGTTACGGCACCTTTTGAGTACTGGAATATGTGTTACTGTAGATAGGATATGTGGTACGAGTAGAAATGAACTCTTTGGAAAGCAAAAACGCTCTTGAGCCTTTCACAAGACTTTTAACCCAGAGATTTCGTAAGGTTTGAGAGAGACCGCAGCATTTCTTTATTGATGGGGGAGGCTGACTAACAGGTTTAAAGCAATTTTAGCTAATTCAAGTAGCAGACAATTATGGACCTGTGTGTATAAACGGACTCTAGTGTTGTGCATGCGATGCCATGTAGCGTGTAATACGCCATACCCTGTTGGAGATAGAGATGCCTCCTCTCAGAGGCCTAGAAAAGTAAGCAGAAAATAAACACCTGGTTGGAATCCCCTTTTTCTGAGGTAGATTTCAGTGAAATAGCCAGTGATCCACCTGTGGTTATAAAGACTTTCAAAAAGGATTTTGCAAGCACGAGGAGAAGCTGGAAGAGTAGAAGGAACGTTACTAGAATCCAAGACAAGGTTCCCAAGAAAGCTGGTGGCAGCAGAAGAGAAGAATGGAAAGCGAAGGGCCATTTATACAAGGTACTAAAATTTCTCATTTTATTGCATTTGTTTATTGTTTGATTGTATTCATTTTGTACAAGGGGTCAGTACAGCTTGTTTTACTAGTTGTTTACTGAAATTTAAGAAGTCAATGAAAATGAGTGTGGTGACATCTGAATCTGATGTGAAAATTAAGGACAAGATATCTACAGCATGAAGCCCTTGTCTAGAAATTCTGTCTACTAAGATAAAGATGTTTAATTCTTCCTCTTCCAATCCCAGCCTTGGCCTTTATAGTCATTCCTGGACCTCTCCTGTGGCTGTTAGTTCAAGGACAATAATGTCCTCTAATGAGAGGTGCATAAAATCTTTAATGTTCTTTGAGGACCTCCAAAATCTCAGATTGTGTATGTGTGTTGATTTAAAGAAATTAATATATGAATAGTGAAGTCCTAACTGTGGGCAGTATAAGTGGGCCAAATTATAAGTGAATAATTTCATGTGTATAAATTCATATGTAACCTTATATGTAACTTTAGTGATTAGAAAAAGGGATTTTCAGAGTCTGTGTTTTGTCCTGAGCTTAGAGAAGTGGATGGGTCAAAGATGTCAATTAGAGATGACAGTGAATTAGGAAATTACTAGAATGTTCCTGCTGTTTTATGTACTGACATGTTACTCTCTCAAATTTCTTTCAGGTAATGGAAAACCTTCACAAGTTGAATATCATGACACCAGAGTGTGAGATCTCTTCTGAACTGGGAGTGGAGCTGAAGAGAAATGCTACAGCATCTGTTGCTGCCGAATAAAAGGACAAAATGAACCTGTATAGAACCCTGCAGAAGACAGACAGAAAATGGAGGACAAAACACAGTGAATATATGTAGTATGACTTGTGCCTCAGATAGAAATGGAAAGTTCAGTTCACGTGGGATACTGACTATTTCTGCTGCGTATAGGGGTATACACAAAAGGAAGAGGAGGACAGTACCTTGGTCTAGGCTCCAAGAGCCATAAACATTTCCTAAATTCAAATGACTGTCCTATTTTAAGCAGCAGAGAGCTGTTTGCCTGTCTTCTGTTTCTTTTACACTTCCTTAATTTTCTATGCTGAAGTTCTGTATGCGGGTTTTTTTTTTCTGTTAAGTTGCCTATATATGCTACATAAGCTTTTTGTTTGTTTGCTTCTGTTTGATAAGGCTATCAGCACTTTAAGAAAAATGACAGCTTAAGGGGCTGCATGCACAGTAAAATGAAGTTTTTGCAGCTCCCATCAAAAATACTGTAGCCCAATGTAAAGATATACTTTGTGGCATTACTCTGATTTCTCCGAGTGTTTGCCAGTTTTTCAAGTTTTGTCCACTCTTCACTGTTTAATGTGCTGATTTTTTTTTCTCCATACTACGGAAAGATTTCTCTTGATTCCAGAGGATTTATTGTGGGTGATATTTTCAGATAATTGATTTCAAACGATACTACTTCAGAACTGTTGTAGCCATGTACTGACGTTTCAGAATTTCAGCTGAGTGTATAATCTTGTCATGGCATTTATTTATGGGAGAGTCACTTGTTCAGTGAGCTGCTAGGCCTTGGTATCCACTTGCTTGTCCTGTGACTTGTTAGGATTCATTATGATTTTAACTGGAAGATGGGTTTGTCTACCCTGTCAGTAGATGACCAAGAGTTAAATGTCTAATTTAGAGGAGTTTACCTTCAACTATTTTTAGTCTTCGTGGGAAAGTGGTGTCTTCAATGGACAATCTGTTCAAAGTCTTAGCTTGCCATCAGTTGTCGGAAATATTAAAAATTCTTTCCCACCTTGCCTTAGTTGAGAAAGTTATTGCTTGCCTCAACCTTTTATTCTTTTGTACGTGACCTTTTCTTGCTTCCTTTAGGGTTTCTGTTTATTAACATTTGGGTTAGTTTTGGATTAGTAATTTTTTATAAGGTATCAATTTTAACAAGGCAGAAATTTATCTATAAAATTTACAGCATTATGAGAAATGTAGCTTAAGAGAATGGTGTAACTGATGAAATAATTTGGAAATGATAGGGTGATCAGGAAAAACTGCTTGACTGTTTTAATTTTATATGAAATTTTTGTAAACAGCTGCTCTGTTTATGTACAGAAAGAAAACAAACTTTTTTTCTCAGAACTCGTGTTTGGCATATATGTAAGGAGATATCCCTTTCTAGAGACCACTGAAACAGATAGGAGTTTTATAAGATATCTGGCATATCAATTTAGTATATACTAGGAATTTAGATTTATGAGGTAATTCCTTGCTCTGAGTTAGTAAAAAAAAGTGTGGAACACCATGACTGAAATCATAAGTTGAAGCTATTGCTTACTTTAGGACAATATTTATGTGCAAGCTGACTATGCTTTATTACTATTTTGTTGTCTGGGAATCCTTTTGAAAGGCTATTTTGCTTAAAAATTAGCAAGAATTTTTCAGGAGTTGTTTTCAAGGAGCTTAATGTTAAAGGAGCTTAAATCTTCAAACACACATGAATTTGCTTTCGGTTTGTGCACATGCTGTCACTTGATTGCTCAGCAACCCAGGGGCAGATGCTTTTTTTCTTTTGTATGGACAGTTCCTTTGGGGACAGAAGTGAAAAGAGATTGGAGAGAAATGATCTTTGATATTCTTGTTTTCTGGAAGATATATATATATTTAGTTTTAAGTATAGCTCTCAATATTTCAGGAATTTTAAGTTTACAGTCAGACCATTTAAATAGTTTTCCAACAATTTCCAGAGTATTAAAATTAAATAGTCAAAAAAGCAATTGAAGTCACGTTTTTGCAGAATGCTTTTTTCTATTATGTTTATAGCTGGAGATCATTATTGACCGTCTCTAATAAACCTTGTGTGTTTGACAGTATTTTGTAGTGGCTTTGTTATTTTTCTTTGTGGAGCTTGAATCTTATGGAAAACTACTGTGTTGTGCTGAGCACAGTGAAGTCTTGTCTATTGCTCGAAGACAATATGATAATGCAAATTGTGATATTTCTCCATTTGTATAGAGTTTACGTTTAACAAACGAAAGAGAAGTATTGAAAATTAGTAGGATGTTACGGAAGTTCAAAAACCTGCGGGGAAATTTCAGTGGGTTCATTATAGTTGTTCTTAATTCCTGCTCTTTATAAATATATATAGCAAGAAAGCAAATATTTTACTGTGTTAAAAAGGTAATTATTTATGCTGTTATTACTATCTATTTTAATGGTGCGTGTTTTTTTTTTTCTCCTCTCTTTCCTTGCTTTTGTCATTTAGGTCTCTGACAAGTGTAATGGACAGCACAGAAAAAGGCCTGTCCTCTGCTGAAAACTTAAAAAGTTTTATTGAGATAATAATTCCGTTACTGATTGAGTGCTGGATTGAAGCATCTCCTGCACAATCAGCTCCCATCCTTGGAAATCTTTTGGAATCAGAATCCCAGCAGCTTATGCAGCAAGTGCTTAGTATAATACATTTGTTGTGGAAGCTCACAAAGCAGCACGATGAAACGTGCAAAATGGTAAGGGAGAGGTGATCCGTGCCATAACTGTTCAGTTTTGTTTTGATCAGAAATTAGTGATTTGTTGGTGGGTGTGATGGAAATATTTGTACTGAATCAATAGCCTCTAGGCATTCTTGATGTATTGCAGCATGAAAACTTTGGGGACGGAAAGAGGTTCTAGAGAAGAGGAGCATTCTGTAAGAATATTTGACTCGGCTACCCTATAGAATATAAATTTTGAGAAAGTGTGATGTGGAAGTGTTTATTCCTTGTGTTTGTGAGCTGAAAAGCTGTGCATGTGAAGCAAAAAAACCTCAAACCCTAGGTCCAAGATGTTGAAAAGATAAGGAGCAAATGTAGTGTGGGATCTTATAACTGCTTTGTAGAACCTGAATTATTGTGTTGTAGTTAGTATTTGAAGCCATTGAATCAAAGCCTCAATAAGAATTTTGAAAAGTTTTCTTTAGATTTCTCCATATGTTGCTTTTCTTTTCTTTTTGGGAACTCTTCCTGATCTTCCAGAGGTTTGCAAATCGGAAAAAATACTGTCATCTTTGCAGTTTGAGCATTGATAGTAGTTGGAAAAATATCTTGACAGCTGTTCTTTCCTATGTATGTATAGGACTAGAGATTCCTTTGCTGAATATTGCCCCTGTGCTTGAATCATAAACAAAGGAATGCATCTAAGCTGGTAAAATTAATAGCATTCACGAGATCTACATATAGAATAATAATCCTCACAAAAGGTTTCTAAAGGGCTGCTGCCTGTAGCTGTATGGTACCTGTCTTTTGGTCCCATGAAAGGGCTGCTCCTCAGTCGAGATGTGAGCCCCTGTTGTGCAATATTTTGATTGTGTGGTGAACAGGATTCATGGTGTATGGCCCTGGAGTACTTTTGTAAGAGATGGTGTGGCCTTTACTGGTTGAGATGTTGGACACTGTGTGTGTTTGCATACCTGTTTGTGGGCATACATCTGTATTCACACATACGTGCTGGGTACCATATAAAACTCTTCACCATACTGAGGCCTTAAAAATCAAGCTGCTTTTGAACCAGAGAAACACTGTTGTACATTTTATTATGGTGAGCCTTTTTTGAGAAGAGGCTTTGATCTGATAATGATCTGATAACCCAGGTCAGGTGTGCCTATAACTGAAAGTAACTTTTAAAAACTGTTAGTTCAAGTTAGTTTTAATCTAATGTTGTAATAAAGATAAAAATTTTAAAAAGTTCAGGCCACATTTAGCCTACTTAACATAATGACAATTTCTGTAACTTTATAATACTGTCTGCTCCCTAAAGAATCTGGTATCAGATCAAAATGTTAAGCTGGTTTTTATTTTCCAGCAATCAATACATTACAACTTTCCTTTGCAATTATATCTTTACAGTAGGTGTTGGAATGTCATGGTGATGGGTAATCTAAAAAAAAAAA